TACTTTCTTTCCATTTATCACATTCTTTATCTAGCTTCAAAATCTTACTTTCTCACCTATTTGTTTTGTCTTTCAATTTCTCAATTTGTTTACAAGGTCTCCTATTTTCCTACCTCAATATAGCTTTCTCGACTTTGAGTTCCTTCCTCCAAATCTCCATTTCTAAGAGGAAATCTCTTGTTTTTAAGTCAACTGGACAATCGAGATTGCTTTCTTGTGGCAGTACAATGTCTTCAATCCCTCGTGCACACCACACAAGATATTCAAAGGTGAGATGCACTTCCTTAGCTGACTCTGCAAGCTTGTTTGTTGGGATTCGACCTCAAGCTCAAACATGAAAATAATTAATAAATTAAAATAATATAACGCAACGGAATAATAAACTAGTATTTAATCAGAGAAACAATTGAATCCTATAAGATTAATGTTTATGTTTTTCATATAACTTTCAAATTAACTATGAATATTCATAAGTTTAAGAGTTACTTACCTTGCTCTAGATATCGTAATCAAGAGCCAATTAAATCAAAATCTTTGCTTCTTCACCTATAGAATTTATCAAATCTTTAGCCACTCAAGTGTTTGGCCTTTAACAATAATCCACACAATGACCGAATAAGACATTCTCAAAGACAGGATTTTTACTTGTGCTAGCAAGTTTTGTTTCTAAAATAAAAAGACCAAAAGTTCTTACAGAATCTTATTTTTGTCAGACAAAGAAAACTATTTTTTTTTATTTTAAGAAATGGCTGAAAAGTGGTTGGAGGTTTAAAGTTTTAATTTGCTAATATAATATATTTATATAACCAAACTAAGTTGTAACCCTAAAATACAACAATTGTATTTTAATTTAATTAAGTCTCTATGAACTTAATTAATTTTTCACTTTAATTTGGTCTCTTTCAATTAAGTCTAACTTAATTAATTATCCTTCTTTAATCCCAATGATGTCACTTAATGTGTGTGACCCATTAGGCTTCTAACATGTCGACAATAAATATAAATTCTAATCAAAAATTAATTTAATAATTGATTTATATTTATAGATCATGAGCGATATTTAACAATACATCATGACCACCCAAATGATAGAAAGTCAATTAAAGAATTTGACAAAGCCCTTCAGTGATAAGCCTCTCAATGCAATACGGTCCTTTCATCAAATATCTCAAATATGACATTAAGCATGATTTAGTGCCTACTTATAACATTCTATATTAGTTCTCATAATTCATAACTAACCTTATGAATTTAGAAAATTAACTTTTCTCAAATTCATCATACTTTGGCCAAAGACTTTATACATGTTAATCAAAAATTGTGAACAAGTGAGATACATCCCCTCATATCACTTGGGGTGATGAATCTTTTCTTAACCACTCATTCACCTTCGCATGCTTCAAGACATACCCAAAAACACCCTGTTTAGGTATTTGATTGCTTCCAAACCCGTAGGAGTGAAATCAAAGTATGTCATTTCCCATACAAGATGACTTGACGTCTCAAGTCTAAGGACTAGTTGCACGACTGTCACATGAAAATATTTTTCATAAACACTTGAGTGAAATACTAAATGGAGTTCTCATAACCGGTCATGTTCAGCGAACTTGTTCTTTAACAACCACCTATATATTATCCTTAAGTATCCCATATATTTCAATCTATGAGATCGATTACTTACTTCTTAAATAAGGAGGCTTAACATGTATTAGTCTTTGAGCATTGTCAATGCCTTGTCTTGACAACACAATGACCAAGAACAATTTTAGGAACATAGCTTTAATGCATAGTAATCTCATAATTGTAACAGCCTTACAATTCTCTTGTAAGGCCTTTATGTTCCATGGGCTTCATCCAAGTAGTACTTAATAACTCCTTATTATTGCACTAACATGAAGAAAAACCTCTATCACATATAATTATGTAATTAAATATGCATTAAATAACAATATATATATTCCTTGACTAATCTAATTGGTTCAAGGGCATATACCAACATTGTTTCCATGCCTTAGCTATCTCTTCCACCTTTTTTGATGTTCCAAGCTCGCCATAAGAAAACTCTAGTTCGTTACACTTATGGTTCATTGGAATGAACCACTTGGATCTAAATTCCCTTCACATCATAATTAAGGCATAACTAATGGCTCTGCAAGGCCTCTAAAACCTATAGAGCAATAAAACTACAATACATGGCTCATCTCCCTAACTATACAATAACGATTCACAAGTCATTCTCGACACTCTCCGTACTACATGCTAACTCATAAGGTCTCATAAGACTCCACACCCATCTTCCCTTTGGATTTTTGCTCAAGCCACTCACTTTTACAAAACTCCTTGATAGGGATGAAAGTAAAGGTATATGGTGCATGGAATGCACTTTTTCTACTCTCCAAGTGACTTTTGATCCAAATATACAACAATTGTGCACATCCATAAAGCGTCCCTCTCTATTCCATCGACAGTAATTTAGTGATCTTAAGTTTGATTTTGTTCTTAACTTACTCAAAGAATCAATAATGGCTACTTCAACATGTCCTAAGACTTTCTAAAAATGACCATCCCGTAAATTACTAAGGCAATAACAATCATACTTGTTCATCATTTAGGTGCTTTATGATAAACTCTTGCAAGAAATTTCAAGGGATCACGTGCCCCCTTTTGTTTTACACATGGATCAACAACCTGAACACTTATCCCCATTACTTGACCGAGCTTCTTAAGATATCTTGTCTTTTCCCTTTGCAACAGATTTAATCCAAGTTAGGGATGCATAATCAAAGCAGGGTTGAGTATTCTTTGATGGTTGGCACAATGTACACCTCTTTAAAAATGAAGGACATATAGGATGGTTTCCGAAATATAACTCTAATCAACTAGTTATTTAAGTGTACTTGGAGGAGTAATGCTATATAAAAGTATAGAAAATACATTTGATATTTTGTTATCTTCTTAAATTACTCATAGATAGTCTACGTTCTTATTGATTTTTTTACTTAAATAATATTTTTTTATATAATTGAGAGAGGAGGGATTCAAACTTTACTTTTTAAATAGGAAGATAATGTACCAACCAATGAGCCAAATGCTCGAGTGCAAATAACATTTGAATGATGAACATCAAAGAGATTTTATATTCTTATTATCTCTTAAAATTGCTTCTGTATGTATTGATAATTGAAGCTGGGAGTGCTCTGGCTTGGGTGGTTATGCTGTTGTGATGGGGGTCCTTTTCAGGTGCTTGGTGATGCTTCTTTACAAGTGCATTGCTGGTTTTAAGTGACGCACCAGAAAGCTTTAGGTAGCTGTTGTACAGGAGAGTGTTTTTATCCCTGTGTCTTTGGGTTCTTGATTAATGATGTGAATCATTCACAGTGAATGAGTTGTGCAGGCTGTACAGGGACTTTCACTTCTGGCTTTGTATGGCTAGATCATCTGATGGATTGTAAATGATGTTTTATTGGGGTTGACATGGTGATCTAGTTGCTGCACTCTGTTTTCTTTTTTCTTTTTTTTCCACAGACTCTACTCTCTTGGTGGATGCAGCTTCTTTGTCCTCCTTTCTGGGTGCATTTATGCTAAGTTAAAAGAAATGAAATGCTTTCAGCCTTTCAAAAAAAAGTACAATTTGTTTTATATATAAAATTACCGATGATGAGTAAAATTTTTCATTTGTCCATTATACTTCTATATTCTAATTTTAAATTTTTTTTTATTATTAATGTTAATGACATTTATCTAATTTGTGCATATATTAATTCTAATTGCATTGAACGGTTTTCATTAGAAATATTTTTTTATTATAATATTAATAAGACTTAATCAATTTGGAATTCTTCTAATTATATTGAATGACTTTCATTAAAATATGTTAATTTTATATTTATATATATATATATATGTATAAGTGCGGATGTTGAAAAACTTTTTGATTGATTAAAATATCATACTTTTTCATTATATATTTAAATTTTCATTCTAAAAATTTTTATTAATATTAATAAGATTTATCAAATTTACAAATATATAAGAACTTTAATTGCATCAAATGACTTTCTTATATAAGTATTTTTTATTATAAATATTAATAAGATTTATTTAATTTATAAGATTGATTTCTCATTCAGTGAATAACTTTCATTAAATTTTTTTATTGGAATAGGATTGAGTAATTTATAAATTAATATAACAAAACTTCAGTTATATGTGATTGAAACATTAATTGTTTTTTATATATAATTTTCTTCCAATTATAGTTATATTTTATATGTAGACAATTAACTTTACACATTGAAAATATAATTGTTATTATGCGGAATTACTAAGGAATTAATTGTTAATGAAGTATGATTTGTAAATTTGATTGAATTCACAACTTTATTTATGTTTAAAGCCCAAACTAATGACAATGTTAAATGAACTTGCAACTTCAAGCATTGTCAGAAACCAAACCTTTCATGAAATGATTATTGCTTAAAAGCAAAACTAAACAGCCTTCATTCATTTTAGATTTTAGAAGTATTTATTTTCTTAATTTCTGGAATTGGTATTTTTAATATATATATATATATTAGGTAATACCCGCATGAAAAAATGGTGAGCAGTCCCTGACGGATTTTTCATATTTTCTCGAAAAGTGACGGTTGATTATTATTCTCCAAGCAAGTAAGGTAAAAATTCGATCCTCTACTCATCAAAATAATACATTGTGATCTTCCTTGTTTAATTTTCAAGCATTTTGATCCCTACCCTTTCTATTACATGATGTTAATTTTATCCCTCTTATCAATAATCACCATTAAATTGATGACGTAGCTCACATGGCAAGTTGTGCATCATTTTGAGGCTAAGTGTTAAAAACTCACATAATGGTTTAGGTGTCAGATGTTAAATCTCAAGTCAAGGGGGCAAATTTATTAAGCCTCAAACAAAACAAAGAAAGACATTCTAATCTTTTGTCCTGCAAGTAGCGTAGGTCTAGTAAAAGGGAGAGCATGTTTTCCTCACAATATGACATCCACCAGTAAATCAAGGCAAATAATAAACAAGTTGGCAAACAGAGTAAAAGCACCCTTGTTACACTCCTTAACTGAGATTATAGTCCATTATAAAAAAAAACCAAAGAAGCTAAATGAACGGGATAAATGGTCTAAGAGTGTCTTTAAACAATGAACCTAGAAATTCATCAACACTAAAACCCTAACAGGTAGAGAAATTTGCATAATATTACTCAGTTAAGCACTAGTACCATTTAACGATTCTGCAAGTAATCAAAGCTCAGAGGTTGGTGACAAAATGGAGCCTGCAAAGAAGCCAAAGAAAGCAATTCCCTTAAAATGTCAGAATTCCACAAGTACAACAGTCTTTTAAAAATGATATACATCACTGTGACACTTAAGAAAAGCACAACAACATTCAGCAAAGGGTAAAACAGCAACACAGGCCAGACACAGGGAAAAAATAGACAACTATGGTTCCCTTGAGCCAACTGTGACAGGCGAAAGTCAAATTCACAAAGTTTGACTACCAAATCAGTTGACTACCCTTTAGGACAAACAACAAAGCCAAAAATGAAAATCATGCAAAATGGAAGACAACACAAATATATACAACCCCTCTGAAAAGAAAGCCTTGATCAACAATTCATTTATAGACCCAACCTGAACAACTTGACAATTCACCTTAAATTTTCAGGCCAATATCCATATTTAGAAAGAAAACTACGAGTTGCTACTTGCCACAAAAGAAGCAAATATGCAAATGGTCCATAGATTTTTATATATCAAATAAAAAGCGGATAGAAAGTTGAAAACAAGTCAGATTACTAAACCAATATATACCATCAAATGCTAAAGCTGAAAGCCTACAAATGCAACTTCTCATGGCCATTTCATGCCAACTAATTGGAAAAAAGACACAAAACCCAGCAGCATAGAAACCATGGTACAAGACAATCTAATATTTCCTGAGGTAAAACAATAAACATATATGATTATCTTAATACTGGCATAATATAAAATAAGAAATTGCTGCCTACCTGGAACACAGCATGTCTAAACTGATCATATGAATGTGAATACATCATTGTAGCACTTGGCCACTGCATATAAGCACCATCTCTAGAAGTTTGATTCAATCCCACCGCAGAAAAAGGGCTCACAGCTGGGCTTGCAGGAATGCCATAGTTGAGGGAAGCTTGAGTACTTGGAATCTGACCCAACTGAGGAAAAGCAGAATCATACTGAAGGAATGGAATCTGAATCTTCTGCATATCGTAAGGAGCCAAGCCAAAGCTCTGGTTACATGGAATGCTTCTAACATACCTGCATCAGCTCAGAGTAATCTAGTTTAGAATTAAGAAGAAACCACCTTATGAGGACCAAATTATACTCTGTATTTCATGCCACTAAATATCATTCTTATTTCATTCCTTAAGTAGCATGTACTTTATCACCACGATCATCATCAGTGCTCTTAGATTTGCACTTACAGGATCGGAGCCATTACAAACTTTTGGTTAATTAAAGAATTAGCAGAAACAACATTGTCCATGACGCAGAACAATCAACAACCTAGATAGCTCCAAATTCCTAAAATAATAGGTAGGAGACCTACCTTTGATAACTCCGGTCATAATCTGGGTCAGTACGATCCTTCTCTCTGTCTCTGAAAATGGCTACTCGACATGTACCATCACGGACAGTAATATTTTTCTCTGGATCAACCACAGAGTTCCGGCAATTATCATCCTCATCTCTGATCAGAGATTCATTTTTTCCATCAACAGAAATCTGAGGCGAAGAATCATCAGAATCAGAACTGCTAGGGCTACTGAAAATACGTGCTCGAGCCCTGTCATACTCTTCCTTCCTCTCTTCCACACTTCTCACAGGACTTCTCTTGATACCAATTTGATTAGCTTCATTTAAAGATCCACTATTTGGCCTGGGCCTAATAGCTATTTTAATCCGCTCAGGTTTATCATTTTCTGAGTGTTTAGCTGAAACTTCAGACAAGCGGACAGCAGGGCATCTGATTTCACCTGTTCTCTTCACCATGATTCTGCTTCCCAGGCCATCTAAACCATTATCTTGAACCACAGTTATCAGCCCATAGTGTTGAGCAACACGATGTGCTGCAAGCCTCAGGTAGGAAGTGGGAAAATGTTGGAACTCAAACTGATGCTGGTCAGATTGTTGCAAGAACCTCTGGATATCAAGTTCCATCCGCAGAACTAATTCCCAGAATGACCACAAAAGAGAGATAAAGAAGGTAAATATTCATGAAGAAAAGGTAAATTAAAGAAACATTAAATACGAACATTAGCACCACTGGAAAATAAGTATATGTCATGATACACCATTGTAGACACAAATGCAGTCCTTTTGTCTTTTCTTTGGTTCTTTTCACATTCCATAAATATGGTTGATTTGACAAAGATAAGGCACAATTTGTAAGATATAAATATGAGGAAATTAAACCCTAAAACCCTCAAACTGAAAATTTCTTAGACATTGTAATTTGAATTAAGTGGTTTTCTCTAGAAAAAGCAAAAAAGAAAAAAAGAAAAAAAAGTAAATATCAATGTAAATACACAGATATGCATACATATGAGAAACAAAAGAACAGAGAAAAAGGAAGACACATAAAGAACATGTGCTAGAGAAGTACTCCTCATATTTTTTTCATTAGTGTATCTAAACTGATCTCCTTTTCTCAATATGTTTTTCCCTACTGCTAAAGAAGTACTTGTCATATCTTTTTCTTGTTAAAACCAAAACTATGGGAACTGAAGAAACCAAAACAGAAAAAAAAAAACTTCATCACAGCAACAGTATTTTCAGCTACATGGACAAATAATGGACCACTAATCAAACTAAAATTACAAGAAAAATTTACTCCTTTCATCTTTAAAAAATACACCAAACAACTATTTTTTTAATGATAAAAGAACAAAAATTTTCTCCAGTTTTGCAAATCCCTATATGTGTTTCTCTGAACATATTCTTTATTTATTAAGCTTATATTTGTCAAGACAAGGAATGCCCAGTGCTACTTAAACCTATCCTTTATTGTGCATGCAATATCAGATTATTAATTTTGCAGCACTATATCCTTAAATCACAAAAAATTAGCTACTTCAATTAATAGACATTAGTTATATTTCCTAATAAGAAAATCTTACACGCTAAATACCAATGCTTAAATTACCAAATTAATACTCATAGTAATTATGGGTACTCATGTTCAACATTTGCACCCAGGTCCACACAGCATGCATTGCCACTAACATCCTTACAAGCTTAAATCTTGAGAAATTTTCTAGCAGTAACCACCAATATGTTAATCATAAAGAAATCCAACAATTTGAAACCTATTTCAAAGATTGAAGGCAACCATTACACTAAAAGCCCCCACAATTCTTCCAAAGATAATAAAAATTGAACTATGTCATGAGAATCATGTAACAATGCTACCTACCTCAAGCTGACAAGCATGTGTGACAAAGCCTACTTTAATCTTTTTCTGCATATTTGATAACTTTATTAAATAGTAAATTGTGTTAAAAAATTATGCACATGCTTGTTCCAAAACAATTATAAAGCCATAAAAATCAAGAATCATCCCATATAATCATGCTTTCTTGAGCTTGGTACACCCTCCGATGTCATTCCAACAACCAGAACCGAATTCTCAAATCTCTCATGTCAAATCTGAAAACTAGAGGGTTCATTAAGTTAAAATTGATTATTTTCTGCTGAATTATACCAACAAACACTACATAATACTACCATATTACAACATACAACACATCCTTGACCTCAGGAAGAATCTCTCAAGGCCCACATACAGACATTGAAATAATCAGAGAGTACCTAACCAGAAATAATAGAACCCTTCCGCATCAACAATCTCAGATCAAAGAATAATTTCAAACTGAAAGACAACATAAATCTTAATAACAAAAACAGCAAAACTGCAAACATTTTGGTCAGTTAAAAAATACAGATAGCCATCATTTTAATTAAACTGTATAAAGCAGATACATATGTGATGTTGGTCAAATCACAGGTACTATCAATGATTCAAGTGGAAAATGTGAGAGAAATAAAAGATTTCACCAAAAATTTTTATAATTTAGAGAAACCAATTAAAAGTAATAGCATTCATCCAACTTTGATTTAGCTAAATAAGGTTATGCATTTCCTCAAATTTTAAGCCGTCAGGGTTCGACAAAATAAGAAAGAAAATCTGACTTGTTTTTTGTTCCCCTCAATTTCTCAACACCCAACTAAACATCATTGGAAAGAAAAACTCAGATCTGACAAAAAAACTATACTGTTCACCAAAACCCTAACCCTAATTGACGCCAACCTAAACCAAATCCAATCTAGAACCTATGCACATGAAAACCCTAAATTCAAAAAAAAAGATATAAAAAAACACTTCTGAAAACCCAATAATACAGAGATCCGACAAGAACACAAAATTGAGATTCAAGGCAAAAGAAAAATTACTAGTTAGACGATGACGAGGATTCTGAAGAGCCTCAACCAAGAAGGGATCAACGGCTGACTCTATGTCGTTGACAGCCGTGGCAGCAGCTGTTATCGTTGTAGTCGGAGTCAAGTCCATGGTGATAAAATTTTCCCCTTTTATCCCTGGGGCAGAAACTTCTTTTTCTCGCCTCTCTCCCTTTTTGTTGCTTTTCTTCTTCTTCTTCTTGATGACGAATGAATCGATCAATCAAGAAGAAGAGATTTCCTTCTAAGCATCTAGGAAAAGAGAGAGAGAAAGCTTTGGTCGTATCCCTCTCCAAAGAAGAAAGGAAGACGCACAAGCCAAATTTTCAGATTATATACCTAACTCAACCTCACAACCCAACGCGAACCCCAACACGTGCAAATTGCAACGCAAGGACAAGGAATATAATATTTTCGTTTTGCAATAAAAATTAAATTTTTAAGACCAAAATATCAGCGGGGAAAGCAAGTTGTCAAACGGGCTGAATTGCAAGGGCGCGGCCCAGCCAAGACAAAGAGTTTCACTCTTGGGCTTGGCTTAGGTCACACTAATGAATCAATCATGCCTAAAGCTAATTTAAGGGTTGTGCTGGGCTTAGCTCTTCTAACTATTCTATTTCATGTGTCCAGATTTTAATTTAATTCCGTGGGGTCTTAGATTCTGAATTACGTCAGTCACTAAACTCAAATCAACTTCAAAACCACAAAAACAATCAAAATAAGAGAGAAAGAAGAGACAAGAACTTGAGAAAAGTGAGTTTTCATTCTCAACTTAGTGTGCTTTACAAATGAACATAATAGGATTATTCGTCCGCATAGCTACCCCAAATCTAGCTTATCTACAATTCAAATGTAACAAAAATGGTTAAAGGATTCAAATTTGAACGCTAATCCTATTCATATTTAAATTTAAATTAAATTAGCATAGCTACACTTTTAAAATGATGTTTAGCTACTGCTACCACTTGGTGCACAAATGAGTTGAGCCTTTTGTTTGTCAAGCCCATCAGCTAGCCTGCTTAGGTTGTTGGTCTTACTAGGCTGCTAGCTTGTTTGGGCCATTGGTCTACTTAGATTACTAACCACTCAACCTATGATATCCTCCTCTACTCAATCCAACAAAATCCTCGTTGTCGAGAGATGAACATATTTGTATTGTGAACTATCACATTATGTGTCGTCTTCTCACATGCTTTTGTCTCGAACAATCTCGCTTGATGCATTTTTGTCTGAAGCTCCCTTGCCTTGGATGTTGCTTTTGTGCATGTTTGCCTCAAACACCCTTGTCTCACACATTATCTTGTCACATGTTGATCCCTTGAGTATCACTGTCTTGGCACTCTTACTTTGCACACACTTCCCTCGTATGCGTTGTCTCCTTGGACATTTGTTCTGAACTAGTCCATCATTGCCTCGATTCCTTGGCTTCATGATTGCTCAGTTCATCTGAGTTATTTAACGTCTATTCCTTAGACTTATTGGCCTTTCTAGCTGTGATTGTGGCAATCCCATCACCACTAATCTTGGTTTCTCTTGGACCTTACAACACTCTGTTTTCATGGGTTGTTACTCTCCTTAGTGCAACATTATGTTGCATAAGCTTGGTTTTCTCTTCAAATCTCCCGGTAACGAATGGTGGTACTCCCACCACTACAATAGCCATTATCTCGAGTTATTTTAACTACTTGATGGGTCTCTTTTTTTTATATGCAACATTAGGCTCCTAAACTATAACTACTCTTTTGGTCTTTTTACAAATCAAATATTGTATGAAGGTTTCAACATTTAGCAAACATGTAATGCTCTGTACTTGGCATGGTAGTAAATATATCCTTAAGGGTACAATAAAGGTCAATTATGATTAAATGATGAGTTTTGGAATGGTAAAAACTGAAAGGAACATTTTAGAATAAATAATATAAATGCCGAATTGATTTTTATTACACGATGAACGTCTGATTCATATAATTGATCTAAGTGGGTGAAAGGAAGTAGGAGTTATATATATATATATATATATATTTATGATATTATATATAATATTCAAAGTGATGTATGAGTGGCATAAATATTCTTCATTATGCATCCAAAGTGACTTATAAAGAAAATACCACATAGCTGTTAAATAGAGGCTAAAAATATTTTACACCAGTGGTTAAAGGATGAAAAGATTACAAGGATTAAACAAATAAAGGAATTTTGGTGCATGAAATTCTATTTGCTAAGTGGGAGGTCGAATGGTGAAATAAAAAAGGAAATGCATGCACTCATATTAGAGACTAAAGTGGCTGAATTATGTAGAGATAAGGTGAGATTACACTGAGATTTAAGCCAATATACAAAGGGCGAAATCTGCCACCTAATTTGAAGGAATCTTGTATGGACGAAGGTAATCCAAATCCCACCACTAAGAATCCAGCAAATCGGCACCTAAATCTGGTAAAGAGAGCAAGAAAATAAAATAATGTGGAGGTGAAAATTTACCTTGTGGAATCCGCCCACTTTGAAAGGGAAAACTTATGCTTTCTTTCAAGCTTCTTTCAAACACTCGAGAGCCTTAACAAAGCCCTGCCAAATTCTCCATTTTCATTCCTTATCCAAGTAGAGTTTAAAAGTCTTTTTAATGTCCTAAATAAACTCCTAATTTTCTTTAATACATCAGTTAACTAAGAGCCTCAAAAGTCTATCTCGAAGATTTTTTTGTTGAGTGATTCACAAGAGAGAAAGAAGACAACTAACCAAAGATGTAATTTCTTTTGCAACCGAGGATTGTAATTATTCTCGAGAGGATTTGAGGTGTTCATAATGAAAGCTTGGTAGTAGAGATCAAGTTAAGGTAAGAGAATCATGATTGTTAGCTTGAGAATGCTTTTAGTATGAGTTAATAACTATGGAAATATTTGGTGGTAGCAAAGGTAGCATGGTTTGAGAGGAAAGGCACATGCATTCTGCTCAACCTAAGGTATTTAAGAAATCACTTTGAAAACGAGCATAAAGGCTATTAGATTAACTTAGAGGTTTAAAGAATATTAAAGAGTAAATATGTCTTTTTGTTTTTAGCTCCAATAGTGATGAGATTTTCTAGATATTAAGTTATTTGAATCATATTTGCAACATTTAAACAATGTTGATGTTAGTTTCTCCAAAACTTCCATAACCACCTATGGAAACTAGAGCATTTTGATAAAATTTTTAAGAGATTCAAAGTACTAAAAATAAGGTAAGGTTTTTTAGAATATAGATTGGGCTTTAGTGTTATGATTTGAGTTTGATATTTTCTTTACGGTGACAAATAATTTAGTGTTATCGAATTGCAAGAAGAAGGTTAGAATAGTATTAAAGGTACATAATATTCATGAGTAGAAATATGTTTAATATATTTTTCCTCGAATGATTAGAATTTAATAAATGCATATGAATATTTAAAGGAACATATGAAGTAAATTTTAAGTATTTATACCTACTGTCTGTATATGTAAATACTTAGTTTGAGATGAGTAATGATAAAAGCATGATATGTTTTAATAAAAGCCGCTTTAAATTAAAGCCAATAGAGTTAAAAGAGGAATGGACCCGAACATATTGGACTTTTTAGGAAGCCAAATAATAATTTATATGCTATAGGTGAATGTTTATTTAGAAATCAAATTGAATGATTAGCACCTGAGCATTTGACTCATTGGTTGGTGCATTATCCTCTTGCTTAAAGAGCAGGGTTCGAATCCCCCCTTTCTCCAAATTATAAAAAAAAAAAACATAGTTGGCACCAGAGCATTTGGCTCATTGGCTAAAGCATTATCCCCATGCCTACAGAGCATGGTTCGAATTCTCCTTCCTCTAATTTAAAAAAAAATGGTTTGGTGTCATATGTATGATTAACGTTGCTGGAGAAATTTACCAAAGTGATCATAAAAAGGAGGCTAAGCTAAAGACTAACGATGTAAACAGGGATAAACTTAGAAATTTTTCTAAATGGTGTCATAACTAAAATAATAATAAGTAGGAAATAGATTATAGAATGTAGTTTTTAAGAGAATGAGAGTAATTTAGATTTTGACTTTTTTAATAAAATTTTAAATTATAAAAGGAAATTCTTTGTCTTTTCAGGTAACATTTAAATATTAGTATATAAATTACTTTTTTTTATAAATCTACTTTGACTTAAAGTTTTTAATCTCACTCTATACAAAATTACAAAATTACAAAAAGAAATTAGGGGCTCATTAGTATCATTAATTGTATAAGGCTCTAGCATAAATAATATACCAAGTAGAAATTTTTATCATTTCAATGAACGAAGGGTGTTATGTGACACCACTCCTCTCAATGTAGGTTAGCCCAAGGGTCTGAGCTAAATGAATATTAATGAGAAATCCCACCAAGTTTAGGTGAGTGGGGCGTACTTATTTTAAAAACTATATTCCCTATGTAATATTAAATACATAAATTTATTATCATTGAATGCATTTATGGAAAGCATGGGCAATCAAAAGTAATTAGGATGATTGTGATTAAGCTAAATGTTTATAAATTGTTTTTCCTACTATGTATGTAAAGTATATCCAGTAAAGGTTTTTCAAAATTTAGAAAACGAGCTTTTCTCTACTATTTTAACTCAAAACATGTCTAACTAGTTTTTTGTAATTGTGATGCTTTGAATCTGCATATAAACGTGCTTATGAAATGTATTTCTTTCAATTTATTACAAACTCAAACAAGAATGTTATTTTTACGTACCAAATCATGCCTCGATAAATTGATTTTATTGTGTGACATGCATAGTTGATCTTATGATGATGTTACATCATGTCTTGCACAAGATTTTTCATGAACGAAAATGTTTTTGATATGGATATCATATACTGAATATTAAATTTACCCTTATATTAGGATGTTGATTACTTAACGGATGGATACACTCGATGGCAGACCTGTTGTCATACCAGGCTATGTGATCTTCATGTATAAAGTTATCTATGTAAGGGGAAGAACTCCTGATAAAATAGGTTGAATGTAAGGGGAAGAACTCTTGATGTAGTAAGTTGAATGCAGAGAAAAGTACCTTGTGGCATATGATGTAGAGGTAAGACCCCTAGGATTATATTATGTGGCTAGACCACAAGCTTCTATGATGTGGCTAGGGCCACGAGTTAGCGTGGCTGGGTATATATATTATGTAGGAAAAGGTCCATGAATTTAAGTCCTACCCAAGATCAGTTCTCCAATAATTGGTTTTAAATTTAATTATGATATGGTTATGGATTATAAGGGCAAAACCCTCAAAATTATATTACATGGTGAGACCACAAGCTTC